TGACAAAAAACAATACAAAGGAATGTAGTTGGATCGTGGCCAAATTCGTAAAGGCCTATTCTGACATAGATGTATTTAGTATTTACTCTCCTGTCTGTCTGTTGGACTATGAAAGACCAGTTTCAAGTATGTTTGATGGTATCCCGTATGCTGTCTCAGAATTTGTAAGTATAATTTGTCTGATTTAAAACTCACTATTTTGTTAATTAATAATACACCTGTATTAAATAATGGAAAAAAATAAATTATTTTGTGATGCATTTTAGGACCTCCGGAATATGATTCCGACAATGGCTTACGATCCATGTAAAGCTAACGACGTGGAGAAGTATTTCAACAGGAAGGATGTCCAGAAGGCCATTCATGCATACCTCCCTGACATGTTTGATCCCTACACGATATGCAGGTACTGATTTTCATGTATAATATATGTATTTAACTGTTTATTTTTAACTGATTAAATTAACACAGTAATATTTATTTTGTGATGAAGCACTAAAATTAAAAAATGGAATGATTCGCCAAGCACAGTTCTTCCAGTGATTCAGAAACTACTACATGCTGGTTTACGCATTTGGATGTACAGGTATATATACTTATTAATTACTTGCATATATAGTATATTTGAAGAAGTTTGACGATGATATTGATAGAGATCTTTTACATTACCGATCGTCTCTACTTTAGGACGATCGGTAGTGAGAAGACAACTGAGATCGTAGACTGATCTCAGGTAGCGTCGGAGTAAAACGGAAATACGAGGTAAGACCGCGATCGTAACCGATTCGAGATAGAAGCCGATTAGTGGTGACGATCGGTAAGGAACAATCGGTAATGTAAAAGATCTCAATCATACAGCCGATCGTCCGAGAGTAGAGCCAATCAGTGGATGACATCGTAAGGACGATCGGTAATGTACGGTGACGATGCGGTAATGTAAAAGATCTCTATCAGATATTTTAACATAGATATAAATAAATGCAGTGGAGACAGTGATGGTAGAGTTCCATGGTTATCAACGAGATACAGTTTGGAAGAGCTTGAAGTGAATGTGACAAGAGAATGGAGAGCTTGGTTTGAAGGAAGAGAAGTTGGAGGATGGGTAGAGGAGTACGAGGGTGGTCTCACTTTTGCCTCCATTAGAGGTGCTGGTCATCAAGCTCCTATATTTATAAACACGAGAAGCTTTTCTTCTCTTCTACCATTTCCTTTCTGTCAATCGCTTCCTTCTTCTACCTTCTGATTCTTCCATCTGTAAATTGTCATCTTTTTACATTTATTACTCCAAGAGAAATTGTCATTTTACAGAATATATATGTTTTTTACATGTCTCAGTCTATTATTAGAAGTAATAATCAATAGTACTGCTATAATTAAAAATATATATAACTATATGAAAGAAACAAGAATATGAAAGGAAAGGAGAATTTCTTTGACATTTAGAAAAAAAAAAATCGAAATGTTTTAAAATGGTTATTTATTAAATTATAAGTTTTAAGATTTTAAAATGTGAGTTTGAAATTGTGATTGAAAAGTTTAAAATTAAAAATCGTAACTTACAAAGAAATAGATAAAATGTCTAATAACTTAAGACAATTAATTAAACTCTTTTTTTTTTGTTATGAAAACGGAATAATTAAACAATTACACGCTGTTTAAACTAATTTTTTGTAGTGAAGTTTTCGACATTTCAGAAGCAATTTTTTAAACAAAGATTCCGTTTTAATGTTTTGAGTTAAATAATTAAAGATTAATGTTATTGAGAAAGGTTTATTACAGGCTCTTGCTTTGGGTCTACATCATGCAAATTCAAAAGCATTTAATTTCTGAAAAATACTAAAGAAAAATTAAGTATCATGCATTTAGAAAACCATGAAAAAGTGATTCATCTTTCAAAATATCAGCCTTTCCCATTTCACAGTTTTACTGGATTCATCTTTTATAACAATTAATTTGGCAGTGGTTTGGCAGCCATCATTAAATAATTAATTAATGTTTTCTTATTAATTAATAACATTGTCATTAAATAATAAATGTTTTCATAATTATAGTTAAATGTTTTCATAATTAATTGATGTATTTCATTAATTAATTAAATGTTTTCATAATTAATTGATGATGCATTTCTAAACAGGGTGTTATGTGTTAGTAAAGGAACCTTTTTGTGTACTAGTCAATGAATTTTCGGTGAAAAAAAATAAAATGAAGCTGCTTTAATAGTAGTTTTATACAAAATAACAAATTAATTATAGGAGTTTTGATAATTATGAAAGTAAATATAATTTAATTATGATCTACAAGTATAATTTTAAGTTCTACCAAATTAATTTTTTAAAAGATGAAACAACAAAACTGTGAAATGTCGAAAGTCTTATATTTTAAAATTAGAGCTTCCGAATTCTCAATACGATGATAGTTTAAAACTATTTCTCACTAAATAAGCGAGTAAAATAATGATTTGACCTATATGAAATAGATAACAAACGGTTCATAAATAATTACATTTGGCACCAATAAAATTAATAAAGAAATTCATAAATAATAATAAACAACAATAATAATTTTAATGTTTATATGGTATAGTAATTAATATTTAAAAAAATTATTGCAGTAAATTATAAAATAAATCAATAACTAGAACTGTCAAAACGGGTCATCCGACCCGACCCGGACTCCGATCCACCTACGGGTTGGTCATCTAGTTGAGTCAACCCAACCCAACTCATTTATTAACGAGCCAGAAAAATTCAAACCGGTTCGACCCACCGGGTTGGTGGATAAATTGAGTTAGCTCACTAGCTCACTTAATTACATTTTTTTTAATAAAAAAAATTATAATAATTTTATAATTCAAATTTAAATAAAATTCACTCCCATGGGTATTTAATTAATTTTGAAAATAAGAAACTTAAAAAAAATTTTCAAGCAAAAAAATAATAATAAATATTTTTTATAAAATTAAAATTAAATTTTAATAAAATAAAATTAGGTAGGTGGGTTGGTGGGCCATACCCGGTCCCACCACAGATTCAACGCATGAGCAGGTGAGCCGGGTTTAAATCGTGACCCGCATAAAAAAATGTAATTTTTTCAAACCAATCCCGACTCAAACCGTGGTGGACCGGTTGACTGGCCGCGGTTGGACTCATTTTCGAAGCTCTTAATAATAAAAAAAAACATAAAAAAAAATACATAGTATCAGTATTAAAATTAATATTTAATAATTTAACTTAATCTAAAACGTTAAAACACAATCTAATTTGTTTTAAAAATATTGTTTTTGAAATGTTTGAAAACCACTAAGAAAAATAAGTTTTAAGCGTTTAACTATCACGTGTATCAAAACCCGATAGAAAATATTATTTAAGTTACGATTTGTAATGAAACAGTAAGTTTTATAGCGTTAATTATAGGTTATAAGTGATTGCTAGTTAAAATTATTAACATTTTATTATTTATACGATTTCAAATCATTATTTAAATTTATATTGTTAGAATACATATTTATTAAGGAGTGACAATATTGAATTATTAAGGAGTGGGATTTCTCACATTTCAGTATATTTTTTATTCGTTCCTATTTATTAATATATTAAAAACTTTTTTTTTGTGGAAAATTGATCACAGCCTTACTTACTAAGGAGACATTTCCAGTTCTTTCCATGAAAATTTTTCACTCAGAAAAAGATTTCCTACCCTTCAGATTTGGAAAAGAAAAATTTATATCTCAATATTTGAAAAACTTTAGTACAAAACTTTAATCATATAAAAACAAAACTTTAATCATATAAAAATGTTTGTGTGTTTTCCTTTGCTGTGTGCTTTTCCTTCTCTTCTATGACCACTATAGTCACTACACTTTGTTTATTTTTCTCTTCAAGGTAACCTTTTCTCGTTGTTCAAATTTATAAAGAGGCTAGAAAATTAAGAAAATTAAATAAAAACATTTGAGATGAAGAGAGAGAAGAATAAAATAAAATAAGGTTGGATGTAAGAAATCTTTTTTCCAAATTTTTTATGTGAAAATCTTTTTATGAAGAAAATTTCAAATTTATTATGACAAAAAATATTTATGAATCGGAATTTTGAAATAAAGTCTTTAATAAAAAAGAAAAAAACTAAAAAAATATTATTAAGATTAAAAAAATTAAAAGTTGAAATACATATCAAATGTTGGGAAGTATAGGATGAAATATCTATTCAGAAAGAAAATTTACTTAGTATTAAGATATTATAAAGATTATTGAAGATAATACAACTTAATATAATTTTTTATGACAGACTTTTAGGTTAAAGTTGATTAAGTTATTTTTAATTTTACTTAGTAATATTATCAAGGTTATTGTTAACTAATATTACTTAGTGTTCATTTTAATATAAAAAATATTTTTTATATGTGTAAAACATATTTTTTTATTAACATCAATAAATAAATGGTAATTTTAGTTAAGGTTATTTTCTAACAATATTAATCAAGATGATAGAAATTATTTCTCAAGTTTTTTTGTAGTTTATACTATTAGAGTTGTATATTAGATTATGACTAATAATGATGTTTGTATAAGTTTTTTCATCTAATATTATTGATGGATTATTCTATAATAAATGTCAATCAGAACATTTTAAATTTAAATCCGTCATTTTGTTTATTTAATGATGATTAAAATTATTTATTTAGATAAAAAAAATTAAAATTTAATGAATTTAAAATTTTTCTATTTAAACAAAACACTAAAAAAATAAATTCAAACTTAATATATTTAAACTTTCTGAAAATTATAAAATTGTGTATCATCACTATCCAAGCCCAAGTTAAAAGATAAAAAATGCTATGTGATTATATTTAATATTTTTTTTATTAAAATTTAAAAGTAAAAGATGTTAAAATTGTTTAATTTAAATGTGAAGTTACAAAATAAATAAGAATGAAAACATATAAAAAAGTCCATCATCTTTATAGATTAATATACTGTTACGGGTTATAGATGAAAAAAAAGTGTTGACTACATTTTTCATCATGGCCGGTGGCGTGGCGGCGGTGATTGTTCGGTGACGTCCTAGCTTTCAAAGGTTTGTTCTTTTACTCTTCTCATCTTTGAATAGTAAATTGAATCCAACTGTAGTCTTAGTAACCTGAATTGGATAATGCCACGGTTCTATATTCTGTTAGAACTTGGGGGAAGAGCGACCAAAATGGTGATTATTATTGTTAGATGAATTTTCTAGTATTGCATTGGGGTAAAGCTGCCTTGATGTGAGCGAAATCTTTCTTTGATTCTAAGAGAAATGATTAGGAAGGAAGCAATGAAATGTTTATAGGCTTGCTGACTAGGAGGTGTTTGTAGAAATGCCACTCAGGTATAATAGTTTGTTTATTTTTTTGACATTATTTCAGTTTATTTTCTCCGCTTGAGATCTTCCTTCCTTCATTTATTTTGTCATGTTTAGTTTTCAGTGTGTCACTTTGCAACTGATTTGATCTCTTTTTCTGTCTTACGCTTCTTTTCCAGCTTCTAAAATTTGGTGGGCATAAAAATCTTGTTAGGCTAGCACCTTTCTCTCCAAATCACTGATGGCTTTTTTATTTCAGAAATTTCAAGAGGTATCTCCTAATTTTTGTATGAAATATTACTACTTTTTGGTTGACTTTGCTAAATTATTTAAATTATGTGTTAATCTCACTGCCCTCGTCAAAGACATGCCGTCTTTAACGAAGAGTGACCAAAATTCATTCGGAGCAAAATATGTTCTTATGTTATGGTTAACTATGATATCTTATTCCATATGTGGAGCATCATGTGAAACCTATAACAACAATTTTGGTTTTAATTTGTCTCCAGGCTGTGAGAACCCTCACAAAAAATCCCATATTTTCTAGGGATCCTCAACAACTACAATTTGAAGCGGACATTAACTGTTTGTTTCTTTATACAAGGTTGGTCCTTTCTACTGTCTAAGTTTATTGATTAATTTTGACTGTGAAGATTCATTCATTTGGTTTATAATCATGGTAATATACACTTTTCTCTTTATGTTTGTATCATGGACGAGCTAATATATTTATAAACAAGACTTAGAAATTCCTACTCTCTTTATCATTCCACCGTTGTTTTCTTAGAGTCTTCAGTCTACTATTACTGTTGATTGGATGAAAATGGGAGAAGAGAGATAGAAAGAGTCCACAATATATTTGTAATTTACTTAGAAAGAAGGGTTTGACAAAATAGACTGTGTTTGTGTCCCAACCTTATTAATAATCAAAGGTGGCTGAAGCCAGACAAATAGATTTGTTAATATTCAGTTCGGTTAGTAGTTTGGGTAAAAAATGGCTCTTATGAAGTTGGAAGTGAATGGAGATGGCTTTGAGTTTGAAAGTCAATGTCTCTAAACTGGAGCTGCCAAATCCAGCCGCATTCTCTATCATTAGGCTAGCCAATTTGAGACAGCTTAAGGTATTACTCTGACTTTCTAAGCTTCAATCATTGTATTCAAAGAAGGATCATCAATGCTACTTCTGATATAGATTATAGATAATCAACTGTCTCTGTTCTGATGAGAAATTCCATTGATATGCATTTGTTTGAATACGAAGATCCATGTAACCATTGGGCACCCCTTCAGTTATTGGTTTTATTGATTAATAAATATGATAACGATCGACTCTTTTGAGCAATTTCTTCTTATCATTATATAATACTATATAAAAAAAATGGAATTGGCGTGTAATAAAAGTGAGAACCACGTTTTACATCTGCCTGTGAACAAGATTATCAAGACTGAAGTCACTGATCCTCATGAAGAGACCTGTAATATTGATGCTATTAAATATAATGAAACTACAAGAAGACGAGGAAGGGTAAGGTTTCCTCCAAAGCTTGTTAATAAAACAATAAAGAAACGCAAAGAAACATAGAAAAAAATGCATTAAGTTAACTTTAACGTTAAGATTTTAAATCTTCAATCGTAAGATCTCACGGGCAAAGTATTTTCTAATTCTGGTTTTATGGATTCAAATAATTTTGTTTCCAAATTATTTTTTATTTTGTTTGTATATTATGCGATGTTTTTCCTTTTTAACATTTTGACATATTTTGCTCATGCAAAGACTTAAATATCCAGCTACAAACTGTTGGGGGAGAATGCTAATGAAGCAGACGCGGAAGAGATTATTAAAATGGCTAGTAAAGCCTCTTTTGTCGATCAACGGAGGCAAGTACAAGAAAATGTTCACTCTCAAATCAAAGCATTTTGCACATGCATGAACGAGATTCTTGTTTCAAAAGAAAAGATGGTGAATGGCCGCTTAGAATTATCTCAACAAGCAAACAGTCCACGTCTCCGTGGTGGGCATAGTTCTGCTAAAGGTATGTGTGACCCAACTAATAACATTCCCGGTGATTTGATCTTTGTTTTAAATTTTAATCTTCCCCTTATTTTACTTGTCATTTTGCAGTATTTTTGTCATTGCTCAGTCATTTCCTTTTCCTATTGATCCATGAAGGCATGGAGAAAAACCTTGTTGAGTTTTTTAATTCACATTTTCAAATTGCTATGAAATCTCTAATCATTGCGTGTTTATCATTTTTGTTATTGATGTGGGCAGCTGCCTCTAAACAAAGACCATTAAGCCAATCTGAAGTCTCTCAGAAGTTAAAGGATCAACTTGGTTATACACTTAATGTCAAACCTTCTCTAATACCTCACAAGGATTCTGGCAAAGGTCTATTTTTAGATGGTGCAGTTGATGTTGGTGCTGTACTAGCCTTTTATCCTGGTGTGATCTATTCCCCATCTTACTATAATCAAATTCCTGGATACCTTGATGAGCAGAACTCGTACTTGATTACAAGATATGACGGGACTGTCATTGATGCCCAACCTTGGGGTTGTGGCGGTGATGGACCAGAGCGATTCAACGGTAGAAAAATGTTAGAAAACAAACTAGTTAATGAAGGAGCTCATAAGGGTTCGGACAGAATGAGTAAACCTTTGGAAGGCTCCCAGATAGATGATGATGTAGTTGAGCGTAGAAATCCATTAGCCTTGGCTCATTTTGCTAACCACCCTCCGAAAGGGATTCTTCCTAATGTCATGATCTGCCCTTATGACTTTCCATTGACTGAAAAACACATGAGGATTTACATACCAAACATATTATTTGGAAATGAAGAAGTAAATCTGAAGAGATTTGGCAGCTCTTGGCTCAAATCTGTAGTTTCAAAAAACAGTGAATCAGATGTTCCTACCCTCAAAGCTGTTGTTCTGGTAGCAACTAGGACTCTTCAAGATGAAGAACTCCTTTTGAACTACAGGTTGAGCAACTCTAAGCAGTGGCCAGAATGGTATGCTCCAGTGGATGAAGAAGAAAGAGGACATGAATCTGAAAGATGAAAGTGGCCAATGATCGACAGAACACCTTTCGATATCATCTCAGAATGATGCCCTAGGTTTAGGTTTAGGGTTCTATCTTTGGTCACGCGTATTAGTCTTTAGGCTTAAATGCTTCCTTCGTACTCATGTTAAGAGGTGAATTTCTGTTTAGTATCCGGTTTTAAAAATGAAGACATTGGGTTCCTATATTACGAAAAGTGTATAAATAAGGTCATGTCCGTTAAGTTAGACAGCAACGGCGTTAAGTCCATGCTGATGTGGCCGTACTTTTTCTCTTCTCTCTTCTGCTTGTTCTCTCTCTTGTTCAACTTTTTCTTGATGGAATTGTTGAACTTGTTATTTCTTGTGTAGACTTATTCATATATTTTTCATAACATAGGGACCCAATGTCTTCATTTTTAAAATCGGATACTAAACAGAAATTCACCTCTTAACACGAGGACAAAGTAAGCATTTAAGCCTAGTCTTTATCATAACAATGTTAGCATGTTATTTATATTTAACCATTTTAAATAAAGGTTGGAAAAAAAAAATAATGTCAAATTTTAAAGAAGTGAAAAATAACTAAAAAACTAAAACTATACTAATTTTCCCATTACGTAAAAGTCCTTGGAAATTTAGAAAATGTAAAATTACTATGACTAAATATTTTATATATATTTTTTTTAGAATTTATAGTTCTCTTTAAATTTGATGGATTCAGATAGTAGTTAAATAGTTTGTCACTTTGTGCCACGAACCAGTTTGTTGGAACTTGATCTTTATCTCATTTTTTAATATCGCAGAGAAAAGGAATTAATTATTATAAAAGTTAACTGTTTCTCTTAAAAATTCTTATTATAAATACCATAAAAAGAGTTCAATCGTTTTAATGTTTTGATGAAATATCGTGTACCTTTTCTGGAACGTATGTTTTAGAATTGTTTTTCAATGCATACACCTTGATAAGTTTAGATATTTTGTATATACTATGTTACTGATGGATACAACCAAATATAGGTAAGAATTAGGAATTTTGATTCTTTAGTAGTTTGTGTTGTGTATATGCTGTATCTTCAAAACATAAATTTGATATTTTAAAGTATATTCAATTTTATTTAGTATATTAAAATAAATGTATTTTGAAAATATAACACTAAAAATTCAAGAAGTAAATATGGATATGATAAACAGTGCCGATATAGATATTTAAATATTAGGTTAAATTTCTATTTTATTTCTAAATTATTTTAGAATATATTTTAATTTCAAATATATATATTTGTAGTCTTTGTTTTATAAAAGTCGTCCACATCATGTAAAGTTAAATGAGGTGTAAATTTAATGTAATAGTGAGTTTTAATTTTTATTATTATATCTTATAATCATATTTTTGTGCTTGGTAAAATATGATTTAGAGATGTTAAGATGAGTTTTATTAAGTGAATAAATATAATTTATTATGATATGGGTTGTAAAGTCAGAAAAATTCAATTTTTTTTAGAATAAAGATTAAATTGAACTCAAAGATAATTATGTAGATTGATAATTCGATCATTTCAAATACTAAAATATTTTCAATAATGTTTGAATAATTTAAATGTTTATTTTATTTGTTTATTAAATTATATAGCTTGACATTTTAATTTTTAATTATTATCTTTATAATGATATTTAATAAAATAAATAAACATTCTAATTTGTATTGTTATAAAATAATAAATGGAGTTAACTTTTGTGTTATAATAAATATATAAAATAAATTAAAAAAATAAATAATCTGAATCAATTCATTATTGAATTGAGTTACAAAATTTTTTACTTAAAAAAAATAACTAACTCGTTTATAATTTAATGCAAAGTGTCAGTTTAACACCTTTAATATCTTTATTATGATGCATAATAATTTATTTTACATAAAATCATGTGTTATGTTTAATTGATAACATGTCTTAATATTAATATATAATAATACATTATAAATAAAGGATTATATTAGGTTGATTTTGTATTTAAATTTTTTATTTATGTAACTTATAAAATAAATATTTTGTTTCTAAATTGTCACACGTATACTAAAGAATGAGAAGTCAATATTGTTTAAAATAATATATTATTATTATTGAGTGTGGTAGTATATATATATATATATATATATATATATATTAACATACTTAATTTAGTTTTAACTTTATACCAAATTTGGATATTATTTTATTGATTTTTTCTTAAGAATTCATTTGACTTTGAGTATCTAAAATTTGTATATTTTTAAATTGAATCCCTAAAATTTTATTTTAATGTCAGTTAATGTCATGTTGTCTTCTATATATTGTCATTGCTTAAGCGTATATAAATAATGACATGTTATATTTTAAACTCTTGTAAATTTTTATATTTTAGTATTTATTAATTTTTTGCATAGAATATCCAAAAATTTAATACTTTTTAATGAAGAATTTATAATAATAATAATTCAATTATAAATACTTAAATTCAGAGGAACCTAAAGTTTAATTTTTTTATTTATTTTTCATCTAAAAACATATAATGCAAAAGAATAGTTATTTCAATACACTTGACAATACAATCAAACAACAGATATTTCATTAAAAAGTATAAAAAATCAAACCAATCAATGAGCACACTCTTTATTAAAAATTTAAATAAAAAGTAATTAAACTTTTTAAAAATATTGAAACTTAATTATAGCAATATAATATAATCAAATTATTTTCTAAATTATTATAATATTTATCTAAAAACCTGTCCCAGCTAATTATCCCTAAACCCTAAAATTCCTCTTGAAGATTGATACTTCGTTTTGTTTTTCTTCCGCCACTTCACCAGTGTCTCTGCGCTCTTTAAGGTATGTTCTTCACAGCTCTAAATACTCTTTTCCATTGTTGTTTACTTTCCAGTTTTCATATGCATTGCCCCAACCTCTACTATCGTCCATCCTTTTAACAAATTCTTCTATCACTAAAACCAATTTCACCGATTACGAAATTCATTTTATTTTTGTGTGTGAATATTCTTGCAAGAGGTAAAGCTGAATTTTTTGTTTTGTATTTTCTTTAGACGATCTCAAGTTTCTGAGATCCTATCTTCCCAGCCTGCTTGATCTTTTTTCCTATTCTACTTTGCATTGCTAAACAGGTGAAGGATGGAGATAAATTTGGGGAAACTTGCATTTGACGTTGATTTTCATCCGTCAGATAACCTTGTCGCCACGGGTCTAATTAACGGGGACCTTCATCTGTACGTTGCTTTGGATTAGAGCTGCAGCTTTCATAGCTAATACAGTTTTTTTAATTATTTATACCTTTTTGGCATTTATGATAATTATTACATTGAATATGTGTGCTGCAGATACCGTTATAGCCCTGATAGTGTCCCTGTGAGGTATAGACTGTGAACCTTTTGTTTTTATACTTGTTTGATACTTGTAAACTCGCATACATGTTGACTTTATTTGTTTTCTGTGTGCCGTTTGCTGTTAGGAGATAGTTGTTGGTAATATGTAGTCCTCTGTTGCAATTATTAATTATTTTACTAATTATTCTTTCAGGCAATTGGAAGTTCATGCGCACACAGAGTCTTGCAGGGCTTCTCGATTCATCAATGGTGGACGTGGTAATGCACATTATTTTCGATATTGTGTATAACTTCTGATGATCTTACTTGCATGCGTTTGAGTTTAAAATGTTTATGGTCATGTTTCTCTTTTAGTGCTGTTGACGGGTTCTCCAGATTGCTCTATACTGGCTACGGATGTGGAGACCGGATCTACAATTACCCGTATTGATAATGCTCACGAGTGAGTAGATTTACTGCAGTTACTGATTTGTTGTGATTTGGGTAACGGGATAATCACTAGCATCCTCATTGCTTTAGAATTTTTATTTGGCTTTTGTTGTGATATAGGGCTGCAGTAAATAGATTGATAAACTTGACCGAGTCAACTGTTGCCTCAGGAGACGATGAGGGTTGTATAAAGGTACATTTTTGTTCTTATTTCAAATTCTCAGAATTTGTATTTTATTTGAATTCCAGATTATTTTGTGGTATGCATTAATAATATTTTACATAGATATTCAGCCATTTCTAAGATAGTGGATGGCAGCAATGGATTGATCTCTTGTTTTAAAATTTAACAATCTTTGCTGAGCTCTTAAATTGATAAACCTTAATTAGGTGTGCTCGACTAATTTTGAAAGCCCTATGCTCATAGCAAGCACAGAAAATACCAGGTCAATGATCACTACTAGCAAATCCGTTTGACTATAATCCCTTTCTTTCTGCAGCCACCCCCCAATAGCATTCATTATTTGAATATTGTATCATTGATTATTTTATTTTATACATGTATATTTTTAACTTTATGTTATTTTCAGTGCTATTCTGCTTAAAATCACCCTGTACTTTTCTGAAGATAGTTGCAATTTTGATCTTGTAGAGTTATGGGAAGGTCAGACTGTTGGTGCTTTCTCAACGTGTTTCATCTGCTCTTCTTTGTTGTAGGTTTGGGATACCAGAGAACGCTCTTGCTGCAATTCTTTTGATGCCCATGAAGATTACATTTCAGACATGACTTTTGCTTCTGATGCAATGAAACTGTTGACAACAAGGTAGTAAATTCATGTAGCTCACCTGCCCTAAAATATCAATGGATATAGTGTAAATTCTTATTTTCCATAAATTTCCTGTTTTTTTAGCGGAGACGGGACTCTGTCTGTTTGCAATCTTCGAAGAAATACAGTAAGTTGAATATCTGTATTTTCTGGTTCCTCTTAAAGCATATGTTCTCTCTACTTATTTCATGATTTTTAACCACCCATTCATGATTTATTGAAAGGTACAAACTCGATCCGAATTTTCTGAAGATGAGTTGCTGTCTGTTGTTTTAATGAAGGTATTAAAGTCAAAGTCCATGAATTTGCAGTGAATTCTTATGCTTTTATAGGAACTTTTTAAATATTTCTGGAAAAGCATTTTTTTTATTTCTATCTTCACTTTTATAATTTGGCTAAATATGTGAAGAAATTATTTTTTTTAATGAAAATACATATCCAACATGCTCTTATTCTATGTCTTCCTTTCCGATGAAAGGTGTACTGTGTACCTCTAAAATGATCACATGACTGATGTTTACATTTTTTGGCTGGGGTGACCAGAATGGTAGGAAAGTTGTGTGCGGATCTCAAACTGGAATCATTCTGTTGTATTCATGGGGATGCTTCAAGGATTGTAGGTATATGATGTGGAATGTGTCAGAATTAAATGATGAAAATGTTGTGTTTCTGGAGGAGAGGCTGAGGGACATTAATTGGATGTTTTCCTTAGCTTGTATATCTTATTATACGTCTTCAACTAATGTTCTAACTAATTGGTTTCAATTCCAGTGATCGATTTACTGATCTCTCTTCAAACTCTATTGATGCAAT